GAAATAAAAAAAATAGGTTGTGGATAGTATAAAAATAATATATATATACACACACACACACACACACACACACACACACATACATACACACACACACACAAAGCTCACCAGTTAGATGACACCTTACCCTGAGATGACATGCTTCGGTCAGATGACACAAAGCTCACCACTAGCTACTGCAAAGCTCACCAAAGGCAACTACAAAGCTCACCAAACTGTTAGTCAAAGCTCACCATATTTTTTCAATACTTTGAATTTTTTTAAATAAAATCAAAGAAAGGGGTGTTGACTGGATTTGACTGTTGACCGTCAGTATTGACCGCCGCCTGCCGCCGCTGCTGGCCGCCGCGGCCGCCGTCGCTGTACTCCGGCAGCCGCCGCCGGCCGCTGTCACCGTCGCCAGACTCTGGCAGCCACCCCCGATCGCCAGTTTCCGGCCGCCGTCGCCGGACTCAGGCAGCCGCAGCCGCAGCCGCAGCCGGACTCCGGTTGGCTCCGCCGGTCGCCACCGCCGGATTCCGGCCTCCGTTGACCGGGGGTTGACCGGTGTTGTTATTTTATTTTTAATTAATTTTTTAATTTTAAAATTTAAAAAAAATGAGTTTTGGGGTTGAAAGTGGTGAGCTTTGCTTTATTTCCAGGTGAGCTTTGCTTTGTGCATTTGTGAGTTTTGTAGTGTAGTGTGGTGAGCTTTGCGTAATCTGATCGTAAGGGGTCATTGTTTGCCACATTTATTTGTTACTTTTAAATAAGAGATATTCTCTACACTTGCATGTGTGTTGCATTAAGAACACATATAAGTGTCACAAAATAAAATACTAGCCACACTTATAAGTTTATTATCATGCAAATCACACAATTTAGAGTAAAAATACGTATCTCGTCATCCTCGTTCAATCAATTCCAATATTATCATAAGATATAAATAAATCACAATTTAATCATAAACAAATAAACCACGTAATCAATCATACGAAACTACGAACGTGAATTTCAAATCTATACACATAATCTAGCGTTAGATGTGCAAGTTCAGACCTTGATTAATAGACGAATTAAACTAAGCAAGAACCAATTGGTCGGGCTGTTTCCGGCGATCCCCGCGGCGGCGGCACAACTGCGGCACGGCGGTCAGCGGCTATTGACGGAGCAGTGATAGCGGAACAGCGTTTCTTCTTCGGCTCTGTTCTTCTTCGGCTCTGTTTCGGCGGCGACAAGTATTCCGTATATGTTTTTTTGGTTTCTTTTTCCTCCATGGCGTGTGTGCGTGTGTTTATATAAGGGGAGGGCATGGGAACCTTCTACGGGTAGAATTAGGATTTAGGCATATTATATTAATTTATTATTATTTTATTATAAAAATCTTTATATTTATTTATTGAACTGTAATGTCTATTTTACTCACCACGGTTTACACATATGTCAAAATTTAACAAATTATATACCGTTGGTCATCATTCTTCGAGATCTACCCGAAAACCTAATTTTCATTTAAAACGGATAACTTTACAAATAACTCATATTTTAGAGTAAATAAATATTATGTTTATTTTTTTTATTAAAATAACGGCTAACTACTAGGCCGGTTTTCAGGTCGTTACAAGAAATCACAAACGGAAGATTAAGCTACAGGGTTTCCAATAACAAGACAACAAAATTTGATGCCCAACATCACGTGGCTAGCATATGCTAAGTTGATACCACATGCATCTGGAGTTACTTTGCTGGTTGTAGTTTTCTTGTTTTGTTTATTTCATCAATTAGTTGTCTGGATTTGCTTTGTTTGGGTCCTCTTGTTTGGGGTTTTGGACCTCCCCCACTTGGTTGTACTCTCATTTTATGTTCAATAAAATCTTTATATATATATATATATATATATATATATATATATATATATATATATATATATATATTTCTCCATTATTATTTTAATTTCTTTTCAACCAAAATTAACTGTCATAGTGGAGTAGGGGAGATAATCTTTAAGATACGGCACAGTCTAGATTCAATTATAGTTTTTTTTTTTTGAATTGTTAATTTTTTTGTTCAATGAAATGTTTGGCAGGCCTTTTTCCAATTTTTTACAGATTTACTTACATATTTGTGTGATTTTGTAGATAAAAATTAGATCGAGTTTGGCTTCTAGACTTCTCGAGCTATGCTCAATATGTGTTCGAAGAATTGCCTCACAGAGTCACAGAGATGTATGGTCCAAGAAATCAGCAATGACATCTTAAGGGAGAAGTTTGTTCGGGGTATTTTTGGTATTTATACTTCAATTGTAGGGATATTACAACATTTAGGATTAGCTATATATGCTGTTTTTATTCAATGGCCACAAATCATTTTTCATGGTATAATGATTGCAGCCAAATTCACGAAACGAGTGATGCCCTGAGGAGGATAGTTGTGGCTTGGATGGGTATGGAGGAAGTAGTGTTCAAAAGTCTCGGGTGATGACACTAATCTCTATCTCTATCTCTGGCTAAAGCATGGGTTTATGGTATATAAACAAGACGAGTAAGAGAATCTATCTTCCAATACCACAATTTCTTCATCTCCATTTGACGCCATGTCAAATTAGATGCTCTATTTTTTGTTAAGGCAATTATATTTAATTAGTAATTTAATTTCCATTAAGGTTATAGTACTGAGTGTTTCAATGGTAGCAGCTTAGACCAGAGTAATTTTCACTTTTCTCATTTAATCCATCACACATACGATATTAGAAGCGAAATTGGTTGAAAAAGCTGTTTAGAAGGAAGAGCTGCATCAGTTGCTGGTCTGAAATTAGTTCCAGGTATTTTGTTTCTTACTTTTTGAGAAAATTGTTGTAATTTCTTTTCAAATTATCCATGAGTTAGTTTTATGTTTGGATTTGGTTGTGAATGATTTGGAAACTTTTGTAGGATAATTTGGCTATTCTTTTATAGGGCGGCATAGAACTTATTCAAGTCCAAAGGACTATTTTTGGGTATGTAATCCTTCCCTTTGTCTTTCTCGGTTTAAAACTCGAGCATTCAATACGTAATCCTGATCATTGCCTAAGAAGCTTCTTCAGTAGCTCTTTTTATTACCTCATACCAATTAATTACTTTGTATAAATTAATTTTTAAAGGTTTAATTTTTTTTCCGGTCTTCGGTCCTCTCTCTGCAAACGGGGCGACGAAAACCTTTGCCGAGCCAAGGGTTTCAAAAGTATCCAGGACGACAACAATTGGATTTCACTGGGGCGAAGAAGGCCAGGTTCTTACACAACTTTAATTTCAAATTCAGTTTAATTTTTATCCAAAACATGGATTCAGTCTGAGTTTATGGACTCTGTTCCTAGGCAGAGGTTGATAGAGTTGGACATAGGCAGTAATCTATGGTCATATATCTCCCTTTGTTCAGATTTATTTTATATTTTTAATTTTATCTGAAACCTCAAAATGAATTTGCTGAATGTCGATGCATCTTGACCGAATATTTAGTAATGTTCTTTCTCTGTTGTATTAGCTTTTTTTGGTTTATAGGTTTGTTTAGAAATTATGCACTATGAATTTTAAAATGCGCATATGATGGTTATTAAGAGGGTATGTGGCTACATTGAGTTATTACATTTTGAGTTTCATTACGATTATTTGGATTAGTGGTATAATAATTGTTACTAATTGAAAATTTAATTTCCTTTAGGTGAGGTTTTATGTGTTTTTTAAGGTCTAAGATCATCTATATATGTTTGTTGAAGTTTTGAATTGTAGTTTGGAAATGCCTAATAAAAATTTTAATACTCAGTGTGTTGGTTTCTTTTTAGGCGAGAGAGAGATGAGTTTGATCTATTCTCAAAGTTGACAATGGTGAAGTCGGACGGCTTATAACATAAGAGATTAGTATCCTGAGAATAGAGTATCGGGAGGATCGAAACGATAACTTTGTCTATAGATGATTTAATTCCTGCAATCAAAAAACTACAGACGACGAGATAACACCATTTTCTTCTTTTTATTTTAAGTTATTTATATTTAAATAATGCTTATAAGATTTTTGGTACTTGGGGATTAGTGAGGTAGGAACCGTCAATTTTATGAACGGGGCACAGGAGCACCTCTGGGTTATCCCATGGCATTAATTTCCAATGTCATGGTGATTGGCCTCTATTTTTATTAGTGTTAATTCAAATGTTTATTAAGTTTTTATCTATCATATAAATTCTTTTTTTGATTTCTCACTCATTCACTTTATTTAAATCCAATTTAGTTGTATCATATGGAGTAAAATTTATTCATTTTTTCTTTAAAATAATAGTTAAATATTCATACCGTGCAACACACGAAAAGTGTTAAAGATTTTGATTTGTAATAAAGATCCTTTTTCATGTAATCAAATTACGAATGTAGTTTAAAAAGAAGTGTTTCAAAACTTATACTCCGTAACACTTTTAAAGCAATCCTTCTTTTTTCTACCTTTTCAATTTATATAAGCTTTTATGTTTTTGTAACATTTTTCCTTATTTAAAATATTGAGTTTTACCTCAAAAAATATATTGAGTAATTATATGTCAATTAATAGCCCGTGCATCGCACGGGTACGAGTCTTGTAGTATTTCAATCAATTTTGCTCCTAGACGTGACTGGTTAGATTTTCACTCTCTATTGATTTCTTTAAGTCTTTAATTCTGTGAATTTGGGGTCGGTTTTGGAACGATTTAGGGGGTGTACTTTGATGGATTTTTTTGGATTCTAACGATCCGTTTTCAATTTAGATTTTAAAAAGTTATTTAAAATCTGAATGTATTCAATTCATATTTTAAAAAATCTTTCAAAATCTATTGATATTCAAAATTTGATAAATTCTAAAAAATTGTACTCCGTAAAAAATATGGATTTTGATGGATTTTTATGTGTTGGGTATAAATACAAATCCACTCTCAAATCTTTATCTTTATATATACAATATTTATATTTATCCTCCTATTTACAACAGCAGCAGAAAAATATCCCGCTCAAATGCTGTGGCAACCGTCCAACCACGATGTCTAGATTCACGATCTCTCCGCTGTGGCAACCGTCCACCCACTGTCTCTATCCACGGTCTCTAGAGTCTACTGCAATCTCTCCACCAATTTCCTCTCTATGCAAATCAGAATTTCTTCCGATCCTCATCGTGGTTCCGGCAATCAATTTTGTTCTCACCTGTGCAAATCAGAATTTCTTTTGATCTTCATCGTGGCTAGATTCCGGCAATCAATTCAGTTCTCTCCGCCAATTCACGCGCACTCTCTGCCGCACAACGCACAACAAATTTTTTTCTTCTGATCCTCATCATAGCTAGATTCTGGCATTCATGAATAAGGGACCATCGACGCAGAGTTGCAGTTTACCGAAGACGCAGGCTTCTGCTAGATGCCTTTGGTGGGGAACAAATATATTGATTCCAATTAATGGAGGTTTTCATCATCTTCTTCTTCCTTATTTACAACCTTTACTTTTATACTTTTGATTTTGTTTAGGTTATTGAAATTGGTTGTGCTCACACATGGACTTCACAGCTAGGTTTTTTTTATAATCAATTCAAAATTCTTTCTATCATACGTTACTCTGATAAAACAATTTAGCTTTTGATTTTGGGTGCCATATTTGCACTAAATTAAAGGTTTTGTATTGGGCAGGTGTATACTCAGGAGCTTTGTTATATTGGGTGCCATATTTCCACTAAAGGTTTTGTATTTGAACAATGGTATGTTATATTTCCCATATTTGTATTACTCAGGAACTTTGTTATACTTGCAATTTCCACCCAAAACTAAATGATTGACTCCTAGGTTAATGGCAATGGAACAATGGTATGAACACTGGCTTATGGTGGAGGCAAACTTGGAAATAAGCTCTCTAGGTTTGTTGTTTTGTTGGTGTGTAGTTACTTTATAATAATAAAACGAACTTAAATTTGGATTTGATGGGGTTATGTTGGGCTTTGATGCATTTAGTTTTTTTTAATTAAAATATCCTATGTGAGTACACCTAATTCATTTGGCATTACATGTCTTTGCAGCGAAGACAACACTTGCTGTCCTCAATCTTCCAGGTACGACACATGTGCGAAGGCTAAAATTTTTTAGGGCAAGGACTCTATCTAGGATGCAACACAGAAGGTGTATATTTAGCCATCTTAGAGTTGATTTTTTTGACAATTGTGAATGACATTTGGGCAACGACTCTATCTAGGATGCAACACAGAAGATGCATATTTAGCCATCATAGAGTTGATTTTTGTGACGATGTTCGATGTCAATGTTTATACAATCATTTGAGTCGGCAAAATCATTCTATGTATTGATAGTCACTTAGAATTATCTTGAAAAAACTATCCACATGGTATCCATGGCATGTATATAAGTTTATAATATTGCCGTCATGAGTCAATTAAATATTTATGCGATTTTATTTTATATTGGTAAGCACTGTTTCTCCCCGCATATGCAGAATCAAAGCCGACAACATGCCGCTCCCTTAAGGTTAGTATTTCATATATAACCTAGGAGTGATGAGTTGATTCCATGCATTTCGTTACAATGTTGATTCCATTATTGTGATGAGTTGTAGCCTTTGCTGGAAAACTAAACAAAAAAAATATTAATAATCAAGTATTGTTTAGTTTAACTTCAAAAGTAAAGGAATGCAAAATATGAATAACTTTTTACAAGAAACACTCTGTTCTTAGATTTGTTAGGGGTTGTTTATTTTAATGATCAAGTATTGTTCTAATATGCCTATTTGTTATATAAACTATCATGTCTTTGTTATGCTTGCAGAATTGTTACCTACCTCGAAATTACTTGGAGCTTCTATGGTCTAGCCAACTCACACATTTTAGAAACTAGAGGTTGATTTGCTGTGTATGGATAGAGTATATGCTTACTCCCTCTCTTCCGAGCAAAATGTTTTGTTATGAATTTGTGGAATATAAACAATGCATAACTATGGGGCCACAATTTTAATGTTGTGTATGAAGAATTTTTTTTCAAAATTTATAATTTTTTCTTATTTTATTTGTAACAAGCACTGGAATTAGATAAAAAAAATACATCAAGCATTAGTATTATCCCAATCAATACTAACTTTGTATCAAGTAGAGTTACATATCGTGAAATTAATAATGTTAAATACTATTTTATTTATATTTTATATTGCTTATTATTATTATTATTATTATTATTACTCTTATTATTATTATTATTATTATTATTATTACTCTTATTATTATTGTTATTATTATTATTATTATTGTTATTATTATTATTATTGTTATTATTGTTGTTGTTGTTATTATTATTATTATTATTATTATTATTATTATTATTATTATTATTATTATTATTATTATTATTATTATTATTATTATTATTATACGAGTAATATTCTTACCGTGCATCGCACGGGTTAAATCTAGTATATACAATGGTGTGAGGCCTTTTTCTACAGTATTCCCGCCCATTTGATAAGCTACAGTAGCCGCTGCATTTTGACCGCACATTCGGATAGGATAAGAACGGATAAGGAGGCTTCTGCCGTCCAATTCCAATCCCTAGAGAGAGAGACGAATAAGGAGGCTTCCGCTCAGCACTAGCTTCGCCGTAGCGCGAGAGAGAGAGAGAGAGAGAGAGACGAATAAGGAGGCTTCCGCCGTCCTATTCCAATCGGCACTTCGCCATAGCAGAGAGAGAGACGGCGAAAGAGAAAGAGAGCACCGACGCGGGTAAGTAGCATCGCCGCTGATTGGAATTTTTTTTCTTTCTAATTTTGAGGTTTCGACCGAGATGCTTTTACAATTTCTCTATTTTCTTACCAATTTCTTTTGTCGTAGATTGAGATTGAGTATATGCTTACAATGTCAAGCTCAAGAACCTTAGAGACATCAGTTGGGACGCCGGATGGGTATCCAATCCCTTTGGATTTACATCTCAATCTCATGTCAATCACTGGCAGAGCAGATAGGAATAGGAACTGTACAGGTAGCATGTGAATTCTCCATTCTTCCTGAATGCAACTAATATTTAGCCATCAAAAATTACAGTATGTACACACTTCATAAATCATAAGCACAATTTTTTCATATTTTATTTATAAAATTTCAGATCCTGATTTTTGGGTCCCAGATTGGAACAAGGTTGGAGACACAAAGGAGAACACAAGAGTAGGTTGACCCTTATTTCTATTACTCGGTATATTTGAGCCAGTGGAGCCACTAGTATCATCATTATTATGTTATCTATAGTAAAAATGTATGAAATCATAACAGATCTTTACTTTCTGAATTGTCTGCATATAGATTTTCTACGAGAAGAAGCATTTTTTGGTTATTGCATTAAAGAGCCAACAGAGAACAGAATAGAAACTCACAAGTATTTTCATTACTCTAGCAGTGTTTTGAAGGTATTTATAATAGTTTTGTTTTTTAAACACAACCAGAATTATAGTGTATATTTTCATGGGAGCAATCTATGAAAAGACAACAGCATAATGTTCACCCTAAACCAGTCACGTGGGAATGCTTTTACAGGATCAATTAATTTTGATGATTTTGCAATTCTCAATAAAATTATAAATGCCTAAAATCCAAATAGTTCATCACTGCTCTGCCCCCAAAAATTTTGGGAAGTTTCTTCATTGTCATATGGTACATTTTGTGATATGCCATAAAAGATTGCATTACAGAGAAAACCCATGTATGAATGTCTAACCTATTGTCTTATGTGTTAGGGTTTGATGATTTCATCAGTACTTTTCATAATTTAATGTTATGGAACTTCCTTATTTGCCTTATATGTGTTCCACATTCTATTGACTTGGTTTTATAATCTTCTCCTACAATTTTTTTGTAGCATCTTTAGCCAAATATTTGGCCCTATTCGCAAGTGGGTAACACCTATTCTTGCAATGATGCTTCCCTCTAATGGGATTCTTGAGGTATTTTTTATGTTCGTTTTGGTTTTCTTCTAGAGGTAACATCATTAAACACGTATATTATTATTTTGGGGAAGCATAAAGGTTCTTCTTTATATATTTATTAAGGTTTTACATGTTTTGATTAAAACATCATACTCTGTTAACATTATTTTTTCTCACATTTTTGCTAGGTTGTTTTCAATATATTGTTCTTAGATTAACCCACTCTCATCTAAGTTGGTTTGAAACAAGATAAAAATAAAACCATGTCCAAACATATATCTAAGATTTAGAACAGGAAAAACCATGTGTCTTATGAAGATGATGATTGGTATTCAATTTATTTCTTATTTGCTTCACTATTTTTCATATCGTCAATCGCACTATAGTAAGGGATTAGTTTTTTATTGAAACTTTGTACTTACACTCCAAACATTTCATACATCTCATTCCAATTTGGTTCACTTTTAAAAATATGTTTCAAAAGATTTAAAGAGTATTTGGAATGCACATAACTAGATTAACAATTATCGAACCATTTGGATGCTTATCCTACGAGTTGTTCGTATCTACTTTGTTCCGGCTTGGACAAGAGAGGGCGATTCAATGTAAGTGATCTTCTATGATGAATATGTATAGTATTTACAATTTTTTTATTTATTTGATTATATGTTATTATTATTATTTAATTTTATCAATTTCTTTCATCAATGCTTTCCCTAATTATATAATTTATAATTAGGCGGTCTGACCAAAAAAGTAAAGATTTTGACAACTCCAATTGTCGTCTCCTTTGGTTCGCCATCTCTTCTTCATCATCTTCCAGTCGGACGTCTTCCTCATCTTCTTCTAGTCGCCATCTCCTCTGTACGTCAATTTTGTTTCTTTCAATTTCCCCCCTAAATTTTCTACTCTAATTGAAGACAATGTCAGTACAGTCAATTTCCCCCTAAATTGTTTACTTTATCACTGTGACTTCACTCAGTGATTTGGACCTGAATTCGCTAAATCCACTAAGAATGAACTCGAGTTACTGTTCATCGCGGGAACTTGAATTCCAGATCCGTTGCTACTCTTGCTGAATTCAAGGCCGATTGTTGAGGAATTTTGAGCGACCTGGTAAGCATCCTCTGATTCTGAAATTGGAGTTTCGTTTACATTTGAGGAAGGTAACAAACTGAGCACTGGATTTTTGGCCTTGAACAACTCTTGTTGGGTTGTTTCTTCTGTGATAACTTCATGGGGAAAAGAGGACGCCCTGCAATTGGCACGTTGAGGCTTTTGTTGCTTCAAACTGGTGTAGTCAAACAAAGTTGGGGCTAGTTTTGAGTGATTAGGGTTAGGAGTTACTGATGCCAAGTTGGGGTTGTTCTAGCCAGCGTGATGGAGTTTTTCCACAAGAACAATGTATAGATTTTAAAAGTAATTCATATTTATGTATAAATAATCAATGAATTATAAATGATCAAATAAAATCCTATAAAATCCTGCTCATAAAATACATTAAAATCTACTTAACTCTGCACAAACTTAAAACAATCTATGGATTTTACAAAATTCACGAATTCTAAATAATCTAAAAAAATCTACCAGAATCTTGATTGAATACACCCTCCAGTGGTTAACAACAAATTTAGGTTAGGGTTATAAATGGTGGGGCCTTGACAGTGCCACTATGTGCGATCTTGGGCAGAGAGGGGTCTGTGGGTAGGGATGCTGGGCTGATGAATCGATATGGACTATAGGTTCATAGTAGAACTGCTGCAACAATGAGGCTGGGTAATGCAATGTTTAACCTAGGCAGTGAATTGGGTGAAAGGGTGGGCGGGGCACGGATGGTTGGGTTTTGGGATGGACTGCAGTAAGCAATGGGCCAAAAAAACAATAGTGCAAAGTGTCATTCTTCACGCACAGTGTCTCATTTTTCGTCTTGAATTGATTTCTCATGATTAATTTAGCAGGGTTTTATTGTTTTATGTGTTTCAGGATCGTGTTTCACCAATATTTGTAGCTATTGATGTTCTTACTAGTTCACTTTGAATCTACTGTATCTTTTTTTACTAACATTGTTAGATACGGAGTATTATTTAGTATTTATGCTATTTTTTAGGTCTTCTTCTAAATGCATACAAAGTCAGTTTCTCAGTGGAAGGCAATGAAATGCATGAAAACTTTTGTTTTCTGCATAGGTATACAAAACACACTGCCTATTGATGAATCGACTTAGGTTTGTTTTTTCTAAATTTATCTACATTGATCCAGTTATATACCATTCAGGTGTTACATTATTGGTTGACTCTGTGTTGAATAAGAGTTCTGAGTGGGGCGTACCCTAAATATATGGATTTTGATGCATTTTTATGTGTTAGGTATAAATACAAATCCACTCTCAAATCTCACCAAAAAAGTAAAGATTTTGACAACTCCAATTATCGTCTCCTTTGGTTCGCCATCTCTTCTTCATCATCTTCCAGTCGGACGTCTTCCTCATCTTCTTCTAGTCGCCATCTCCTCTGTACGTCAATTTTGTTTCTTTCAATTTCTCCCCTAAATTTTCTACTCTAATTGAAGACAATGTCAGTACAGTCAATTTCCCCCTAAATTGTTTACTTTATCACTGTGACTTCACTCAGTGATTTGGACCTGAATTCGCTAAATCCACTAAGAATGAACTCGAGTTACTGTTCATCGCGGGAACTTGAATTCCAGATCCGTTGCTACTCTTGCTGAATTCAAGGCCGATTGTTGAGGAATTTTGAGCGACCTGGTAAGCATCCTCTGATTCTGAAATTGGAGTTTCGATTACAGTTGAGGAAGGTAACAAACTGAGCACTGGATTTTTTGCCTTGAACAACTCTTGTTGGGTTGTTTCTTCTGTGATATATATATATATATATATATATATATATATATGTATGTATGTATGTATGTATGTGTATATATATATATATATATATATATATATATATATATATATATATATATATATCTTTCTTATTATATAAACACCAAAGATGGTTAGGTACCCTCTAATAAAAATGCACCTTTTCCGTTAAAAATTCATGGTACTCTGCGCAATAGGAGTTGTACGTTCAGAGTTCAGACTTCCATACCCTTACGCCGTGACCTCACCGTAGAAAGGCTTCGTCGCAATTTTCTCTTCAAATCGGCTTTGATTGGGGTAATAATTGTGCGTTCAAAGTTCAAACTTACCTTGACAACGTGACCTCCCCGTAGAAATGCTTCATCACAATTTCTCCTCAAAATCTTCTCAAATCGACTTTGATCGGGTTAGTTTTCTCTATAACCGTCGCTCAGTCGCAATGCCTCTTTCAGACCTATAATCAATTCATAGTCTTCAGTAACTTTCTTACTACTTGGCAGGCGCATATTCAGGCCACACTCTAATTTCAATCATCTGTCCAACTATGCCGCACTCCTATTTTGATTTTTCTCCTTCGTCTCTATTAAGATAAGATTTTAATACGCCCCATATATTGAGATTTTGATTTATGTTAGATTGTTAGATTATTTCTTCACATAATGATTTCTGAGCACAAATTGTTTTGTCATTTGCTTAAAAATGTTAAAGTGTTACTTTCTGTAACAATCATTTCTTATAATTTTAATTCTAACATAATAGAGTCTCATGTGGTTGTAGCAGTAATCGTGTTATATGGCCCCTTTTCCATTTTTAAATCCCTTGTACGAGTAATTTTTACAATCTCTGTTTGTAGAAAAGGGGACGAAGTGGATGAACACTTGATCATGCTAAAAATATGGTTATAACTCTTTTTTAATAACTAAAGCACTAAACTCTCCATGAATTGTTGTTTATCTCTATGTTTTGGAATTGTTTCTTTTCTATACAAACTTACTGTATTACACACATATCCTCCTAAGTCTGTGTTATTGTGAGATTAAATGTGGGTGTTGTTGTTGTATTTCCCCTTGCTATATGAATATTAGTAATATGATATAAAAAACAGATTATAGGTGTCTAAGCTATTACTCCGTATATCTTAGAACCGATAAACTTTTTTTTTGACAGATAGAACCGATAAACTTGCTAATCTTGGTTATGTTTTTCTTTTAATGTACTATGCATTTTTTTGATTTTTGAGTATTCAATCCCTCGCACAGATGGTATATGGGTTTGAATATTAACTCTGCAGTTATAATTATTGTAAAGGGTCTAAGACTTAGAGTCTGTATAGAAGCTGAGACCATTTTAGAACCTTTCTAAATCTGCATAATATTATTATTGGTATTGCTTTCCACTTTAAGAAGTTTATAAGACGATTTAGTTGTGAATATTCCATCTTTCTCCCGTGTCCTTGAAGTGTTGACTTCACAAATTCATTCAGTTGGTGATGTGATGCATGCTAAGTATTGAGTGTGCATAAAAACCCTGCTCCTATTGAAGGCGCTGCCAAACCAGCAAAGGGAAAAATAGCATGGTAGGGGAGACAATTTCTGATGAGTTTCCAATTTTTTCAGCCACACCTATGATCTGTGTTGATAAGTGTTCTTCCAACAACATCCCTTCTAATTCTAATATTTAATTTAGGGAAGTTAATTCTGGCCTTCTTGGATACGTAGTATAATTTAGAAGCTGAATGTGAAGTACACTCTTTCTCTGATAAACGGTACACCAGCCCATTAAATGGATGATGATGTGCAGTCCTATTCTAATTTGAGTGAGAAACCTAAAATTTATTTGAAGGATACTCTAGCTGGCTAATACTAGAGGAGCTACCAACAATGTAAAAAATCCCAAATCTCCTAAGTCTAAGCAATCAGGCTAGGCTTAATGATTTTGCACCTCCTCTATAATTTGTGCTTAGTCCTGCATGGAAATGTGCACCAGACTTTGTTGTTGGGTATATTAGCTTATTTTCTAGGCTGGTTTGTATGCTTATTTGTTGTGTCCAGGTCTCAAGTAGTTTTAAGATTTTGTTTGCTTGTTGATATTTTGGTTACACTTTCTTTTCTTTTATTTGGTTAGGCCTTGTGGCTTTTGTCAAGCTTTTGCTAGGGATTCACTTTTCCCATTTATTTCTTATTTTATCATATCCTTAGGAGAGTTTGTCTTCAAGTTGAGGGTTGACTTTAGGCTTTGGTTTGGTTTCACCACTATTCATTGTTCTCTTTTCTTTATTAATATAAGTTTAGTTTTGTTTAAAATTAGTAAATGAACTTTTTGACCATGTAAAAAATTATTTTAAAAACAATCAAATTTTCTTTTTTTGATGAATCAAACATCTATTTTAGGAGTATTCATTTGCACATTTATATTGTATATAGGAGCACGTACATTTTTTCCCAATGGCACTTGACTCCACCAACACATGTCCATCGTCTCATGAATTCAAAAAAAAACATTTGATAATGACATTTTTGGGATTTCAACTAATGTCTTCTCTAGGTGTTTAACTACATGTCTTTTTTCATGAACTTATTACAGGCAGTGTTTGATAATACTCCCTCCGTCCATAAATAATCTTCCCACTTTCCTTTTTCATCCGTCCACAAATTATCTTCCCATTTCCTTATTTGGTAACCTTTTTGTATCAAAAAGACTTATTTACCCTCATACATTTTTTTCTTTCTTCCTACCTTATCTTTCCCGTAACCCCTGCCACCCCAATTCTTCATTTTTTCTTCTCTTTTTTTCTTCTTTCTTTTCCTCTTCCTCACCTCTCCAATTGTGTCCAGCCAGCCGCCCCTTCATCTTCTTTGCTACTACTACCACTTCATCTTCTTTCTTCTCATACCAATTTTGTCCAGCCACTAAACCTCTCGCCATTTTCCTTTCTTTCTTCTTTTTTTCTTATTCCCTGCGGTGATATTAATATGGATAGATCTGATAATTTGAGTATTCTTTTTCATTCAATCTTCGGTCATCAAGTCTTCTTCTTCATCAGATCTGAAGGAGTAAATCATGTTTTCGCCAGATCTGGAAGTTGTATAGGCTTTGTCCACCGAGATAAAGGGTTGTCGGCCAGTGGTGTTCAATTCGTCGAGGAAGAAGACTAAGTGGAGGTCCTGACCATTGATTTCTGGTGCTGCAGGTGAGGAGTTGAAGGACATACGGGAATTTAGGTAGGTAGGCTTGAATCTGGGTGTTGTCGGGATTTGGCTGGGACGAACGGTGATTTAGGTTGGTATTGTCGGTGATTTGGATAAGCAGAGAGAGGATTTTGGTGGCAGGGAGGCTGGTTGAGTGAAGGAGGAGGGAGGGGTATTTTGGGAAAGTCAACTACATTTTCACTTTACCTAAATCTGCGTGCCCGGTACGGAGGGAGTAGCATTTATTGGTTTATTTATGATTAAAAAATGCCTTTTTACTAGAGTAACTTTTTAGCTTAATTCATTTTTATATTGGGGAAAATCTTACAGGTTCAGTCATCATTGAACCAAATAAGCATTGCAAAATGGGAGTATGAGACATGATGTACCTTGGTTAAGAAAATTAATGGACAATATACGGCTCTTTTGGTAGCCAATATTGCTTAGTTTTGATAAAAAAGGGAATAATTCAAAATTGGAATTTTGTTTTAAAAATAAAGTTTTCTAAATCAAGTATTTCAACCCTTGCAAAATGGAATTAGATTTTTTTAAAAAAAGGAAATAGGAATTATGAGGAGACTAATGGTGAAATAAAACCTCATTTAATTGTCACATCATGATTTACAGTATTTGGATTATAGTACAGTTAGTCTTTGTTCTTGGTAATGCAGATTCAACACGCATTATCACAAAACATTGATGTTTATGCCTAAGGTTCTCAATTTTAAAAAAAGATTAATTTGCCCATAACTAAAGGATGTTGAATCATTTTTAAGATATACGGTAAATCAATCTAATGTCTGTATCATTTTAGATACTCTAAATTTGCTATGGGGTTTAAACTGCCTTGTGCTAATGTTTTAATTGCTTGCTGTATTTGGATATCATTGCTATTAGTATTTATTCTTTGGTAATTTAGATTCAACGTACACATCAACAAATAAGTGATGTGTAAACCTAAGGCACTCATTTATAATAAAAAAAAAGCTTAATATGCCCATAATTTTAAGGGTGATGATTCTTTTTAATGATTAGCTTCCTAACCAACTGTATTTGGTAATGTATATGAGGTAAACAAAGCTTATGCCTATGTCCTTTTAATTTTTATTAATGTGCTTTGAGGGTTAAACTGGTGTAGGTTCATATAAACTTTTATTGATCAGGTGTTTTCAGATCCCCACAGCTAGCAAAGGAATCTCAGAGTTCCACGATATACTCATGGGGGTGAGTTGTTACTTCTCATGAATTATTATCCAAACAAATAAAAACCATGAATATGGTGAAACACCACAACACTGTCCGCATCATTGACAAGGGCACTGTTGTACTTAAGAGGAATTGATCTTGATATATTTATGCTTTGGGTCATTCATGTACAAAGATCGTTATCAAAAAGCATAATATTCCCTCATTCTATGGAATCACATTAGGAAAACTATCAAGTTAAAGGCTTAGAGAAACTGAGGTTAAGAAATTCATGACAATGACCATTACGCTTAAAAACCTTTAGTAACTATACTCTTTTTTCCGTTACTATTTGTTTAAATTGATGCTATATTAGCGTCTGTTGTATTTTTACCTTCCTATTTGGCATTTGCACTCACGAACTTTTGCATCTATTATTTGACATCATGATTGTTCTTACTATTAGGAGTCCCCTTTTGGCTTCTACCTTTCATATCTGCTTCGGTCAGGTTTATGGCTATTGGAAATACCAGTAGCCATCCGTCTCAGTTCAAAAATGTCTAAAACAAATTTCTGCTTCACTGTAATATAAGCTTTCTTGCAACTCATAACCACTCATTTAATGCGCTCTCATTATTTTTGCGTCTTGGAATGCTTATATTATAACCAATATGGTCAAGATTTAACGACTTCTATTGATTGTAGAACTGAACATGTTTTTTCTTTTTATATTTATTGCAATAGGAGAAGGTAGGGGAGTGTTTCAATTTTGTTGATGTCTTCTGATCTTGCTTACAAGGAAAATGGTGCAATATTAAATACGGTTACACAGAAGCAGGTCTTTTATGCTTTGCGGAACCAAATTTTGGCATTTTTCAAAACCATCGTACCTCTCTTACTCTTTTATGTTCTACTCATGTGTCGTACGTCTTTGCGCATTTTATTTTCCAAACTTGAGGTCTATTTTTGATAGTATTGATTGGGGGTTTCATCTGATTCAGATTCCTTAATTAAATGGGTTTGAATTGATTCATTTTTGGAATAGGACAGTGGGAAAGGTTTTAGTACATTGATTGATGTTTTCTATTTGAGCATGAGTTTTTCTAACTAAACAGGATGAAATGTCTTTATAGTTTTGCTAAACATTAGACTTTTGTTTTGGATATTGTAGCTAGCTATAATGGTTTTGTTTCCTCCAAACAAATTTATAGTGGCAAGAAGGATAATTGTGTTCCACTCCAAAAACATTTTGTCTTGTATGGGTAGCTATACAATTAAGGTGTGGGCTTTTTAGGCTTTGGAAAGTGTACAATCTGGAAAATAATAAAGAGCTCATCTGTACTGATATAATATTGATTCATAAGGAGGTAGTAGTTGGGGCCAATTTCAGTTTGGCTGTGTGTGTAATTATAGTTTGTTGGTATTTATTTTTATTTGTCTATTTTATTTGATGCATCAAGGTCTTTTTTGCCGGTTGATATGACTTGCAAACAGTTTCTTGTCCATTTGTTTCAAGGCGTGTTTGTTGAAGGTAATAGCTCGACAACATAGTTTGTCATGTCGTGGGAGACCACAAAATGATGCTCCAATTTTAAGCCACCTCAATTGCAAGCTGTTTGGAAATTCTTATTAATTGCTTTGATCTCTTTGACTTTGATAAGTTGGAATTAGCTTTGGTTAGGAGACTTAGGACTATCTTCTCATAGATTTAATAATTTTGGAATCTATATGTCCAATTGTTTAGGGCCTTTCAGTGGTTTTAATTTGGCAGCGCTTGCCGCTTGATATTTAATAAGCAGTTTTTGTTTTGGAAGACGTGGGAGAAGTTTGAAGCAAGGGAGATGTGACAGATACACGTGTTAACGACTGAATAGTGAAATGACTCATGCTACGGTTGCAAGATTTGAGGTTTGGTGTTGTGGTTTAATTTTTAGATGGCTTTTGGGTTTTGAATAATATATTCTGTTTTTTGTTGTTTTTTGTTGTGTTTTTGGTTTTTTTATTTTAATGTTCATTGTTTTTTGGAACTCAATCATGAAAAAAGACTCTTGATTGTTCATATTGATATGATGCAGCAAAATACCAACGCTCTATTGTTTATGTATTGGTATTAGCAGGTAAAGGAATGAAATTAAACAACCTAACATTTGAGAATTTTCGAAGCAACTTTTGATGACAAAGAAACGGGGAAAGGCATCCAAGAAACTGTTTGCAAGTCATATCAACCGGCAGAAGGAAGAAGAGCTCAAATAGATCATAACAGGTAACTAATTCTTCAAAAATGGCATTACATGACTACGCACACTAAGGAACAATAGGACATGGAAAATAATTTAACAAAGAAAAAATCTTGCATTTTCCGGCTTAATGTTTTATTTTTTTCCTCAAATATTTTATTTCATTCCAAATTTTCCTTTGTTTTCTTTCACGAGCATTTTCTGAATCCACAATGGTAACGTATGAGAATAATCAACTCTATAATGATAAACTTCTTTTATAAAACGGTATTATAGAAAGAGGCAAACAAATAACCAAGTCTAAACAGATTAGATCTTACAATTTTATTCATGCACACAGCTTATAACTCACCCCAAGTTTGAGTCTATTTCTCGCAGGGCCGGCCCATTAGGGGGACAAGAAGTCCGTCCGGGCCGGGCCCAAAAATTTGAGGGGCACCAAAATTTTTTTTTTAGTATATATATATGCATATGAGCCCAGGCCCAGTCTAACCAATAGCCCAATCCATGTGTATTATGTTGACAAAAAAAAGAAACGGAAGAAGCAGCAAGTGTGAAGTGCCGATTGAAGATTCGAAGAAACCAGAGACGCAAAAACCGAACAGAAGAAACAAGATAGCCGAGTGCCGGAGTCGCCGCCTCCACCGCCGGACGCCGCATCGCTGACCTGCACTCCTCCACTAGGTAATTATTCATAGCCTTCCCTTTATAATTTTGTAATTTTTATTTCTTAAATCTTAATTTTCTTTATTTGTTTCATTTTTTAGATTTAAAATCTAGGGTTAATTATTAGTGTTTAATTCAAAATCTTTTCTAATTTCATTCTTTGAAATAGAATGAATCTAGAATGTTTTTTATTTGATTTGGATGAATTATTGAATTTATTTGAATTTGTTATTTATAATAGTTATATATTTATATTAAAAAAACTGAAAATCAAAAAAAAATTAAAAAAAGAAAAATTGACTAATTGATACCGTATCAATTTATGATATATTTATTTATTTGCTTTCTTTTTTCAATTTTTCATTCTTGATTTTACTTAGTAGAATTTATGATTTTAGATTTTAATTCAGAAATAATTCTATCGAGAAAGATTAGTGGATTGGCGGTAATATCTATCGAGGAATGAAATTTTAGAGAGCATAGACTGTGAAGAAGTAATCAACCAATTTGCTCTGCTCTCAAGAATGCAGAGAGAACTTCTCGAATCTTTAGCTAGCTTCTTACGGCATGTAATTATTATGCTATAATTTTGTCATTTATTTTTTCTTCTAATAATATTGCATTAATTATAATTAAATAAAATTAGTTTACATATGTCATTCTTTAGACCATTAAGGACAAGACTTTTAGGGCCTTTTTTTTGTTTCGGCCCAGGCTGATGAATTCTCAGGACCGGCCCTGATTTCTCGTTTTTTTAAATGGAAAAAAAATAGAGTTGTCTACAAGTTACCACACATGTTGATATGGTGATTGTTTTACATTTCTTTTTAATCTCATATGTGGACATCATGTTGTCGAATTTGTTTTATTATCTTGAAAAGAGAAGCAATTAGTTGGAGCACTCTTGTAATGACAAAGGTTAAACAAACAAAAGTAGTGTACACTTAGTTTTAAAACAACGGTGGTGTACAACAAAATTGGCCCCATTATGTTGTTCTATGTGTCTTTTATTTACTTTTAATTGTAATCAATATACATCTTGTGTGAAATTATTACCATTAGTCTTATGGATTTATTATTCATTTAAATGATACGTATGAGAAATTCTTGACCTTTATTCTAGACATTATTGCATTGCTTATCAACAACTCCAATGCTATTAGAAACATTTCTTATGAATTTTAAAAGCTCTATATGCCCCCCTCCCCCCAAAAAAAAAATCATGCATCATACCCTAAATTATATTCAATTGTGTTGTCAACTTCCTTTTTTGTGAGGTATTGAACAAATAGAATTATATACAAATTCAATCACGAAAAATTGTAAACAAAAACCATAAAAAGATCTTGGCTAAAATCCTTATCAGGCACTTAAACTCGCGCAACGCGCGTGAATTTGCTATGTGTATATATATATATATATATATAGAATTCGGTTCAAATAAGAATGAAATCTAATGAAAGAAATAAGAATGAATAATAACCCTTGGATCTTGATCTCCAGCAATTCTCCTTCCAACTTATCGCAAGGGCATTTTTGATTTTTCATCCCAATTTCGTTCTTGCCTTATCAACTGCTCTTCTTCTCCCCAAAATCGGCGCACCATATTCTCTCATTTCGTTCAGAGTTTTCCTTATTTACACATGCCACCAGCAGTTTCTCTATCTAAGAGTTGAGTCTGGGCAGTGTTCTTGTAACACTATTCATACTCGTCCATCACCTTGCAATTCCTTCTTGATTTGTATCTCGATTATCGATATTTTTGGAGCCCGACTTCAACATACGCTTCCTCTTTGGAGTTCAATTCGATGCTCTTGGGGCCGGACTGGGCATGAATCGAAGGTTAACCTCTCGTAGTTACTGTTCATCTTCGACTTTGAAGGTTTGAATCAATCTCAATTCAAGCTCAATTGAAGTCTAATTTGTAGGGGATTATGAGTGATTTGTGTTACTCTTTCAAGGTTTGAGGATGGAAGTCATTTTCATTTGAACTTAGATTTTTCCATCTTAATTCCATTCTTACCTTATCGGCTGCTCTTCTTCTCCACAAAATCAGTACACGATCTTCTTCAATGTTTGGATTCTGCGGCCATCATCATCCCTCAAATAACAAGCATCCATTATCGCAAGATCTATTCCAAAATTCATCTTCATTATCCATCATTGTCAAAGAATATATCTGGTGGTTTTGCCAAATCAGGTATGATTCATTTAGTTTCTGATTCATAAATTAAATTACATTTTGATATGTTTATGAATTTGATTCTCTGTATTCTTGTTTCATTTTTAGGTTTTGATTGGTTGTTCAATTTGTGAGCAATTGGTTTTAGATGTTCAGCTTTAATTTGTATTCTACTATTTTGGAGCATTTTTGTACATATGGGATTTTTTCAGTTGTATTTTGTTATACACCCTATATCAATGCTATATTTGTTAGATATTCTTTTAAAATTGGTCATTCTTTTCTGCTTTGTAATGTTCTGGGGTGTCTTGCATTTTGAAGTGCATGTTTTGCATTTTGATTAACATCTATCTTTAATATTGCATATGTAAATGGTGAATTAGGTAATTTTTATTATGCACAGATTTAATAGAACGTAAGCACTTTGTTATGATTTTTGCACATTTCAGGATCGTTCATTTTACCCATCATTTGTTTCATATATGACGCTATGTGCTCCTATAAACCATGTTGTATTGAATATTCCCTATCTTGCATACTTGGTTGATAGTGACTATCTCATTTTGTTATTAATAAAGTGAGATATAATAATATGATATGTATATTGTTGGATAGTAGTGCATCCTGAAATGTTAATAGTACATCGTATTCATATCCATGGATAAAGATTTATATTAGTCACGACCTTAAACCATAGTTAGTGGTAACAGATGGATATATTTCACTTTGGGAATTTGTTTATTACTATGTTGCCTTATACAATTTGAGTAAAGAGAAATGTACATACAAACAAGTGGTTTGACAGTGTGAATTGATGATGCATTACACCTGTAGTATTTATATTCAGTGTAGGTGGGAGACTTACATGCAAGAGCTCCAAAACATAATATACAACCTGAGGAAAGGGAACAAATACCATCAAGATGCACCAAATAGAACCCTCGCTGGTTAGTAAGAATGGATGGCTTATGAACGTGTTATTGTAGAATTAGGGTAAGTGGATCTACCTCGTAACCTCGCAAGTTTAGTTTTAGCTAAAAGTTAGCAGGTTTATAGCTACTGAATTCATCAACTGTGTTATGTAGGTGTGTAGCTGCTAAAAGAGCATAATCTAGATGGAGATGCATACTAAACAGATGAAAGTGTTGATTTTATTATCACTGACACATGGAAACCAGTGAAGATGCATAATTGGTAGCTATTAACAAAATGACATTATACAAGTTGTAAAGTAGTTTAAGGTGCAAAATGAAAGATATCTAAGCTACCAAATGAAACATAGAACAAAGCGAAACCTATAATATCATTTCTCCGTTAATATTTTCACCCAATAGGAAAGAAAACACCACCATTCAATCTTTGGTTCTACTTGCGTCAATATACCCTATGACCTATGTGCCAAACTAAGTATCTTATCCCTCAATGGTACTTGTTGGATTTTATTATATGCTCTGGTGCTTCTAGAATGTATTGTTTGATCATCAACATCTCTATTGTCTTTACGTGTAGCTTCATCATGATGTTGCATCTTCTTGGAACAGGTAACATTTGATTTATATATCTCACTTTTACTTCATTTTGGCTTTTCAATCGCTGAATAGGTAAGATTTGCGGCACCCATCTTCATCATCTTCTTCTTCTTCTACATATCAGCAGGGATCCATCTTCATCATCATCTTCTTCTTCTCCTCTCTGATCGAACAGGTAACATTTGATTTATATATCTCATTTTTTACTTCATTTTGGCTTTTCAATCGCTGAATAGGTAAGATTTGCGGCACCCATCTTCTTCTTCTTCTTCTACATATCAGCAGGCATCCATCTTCATCATCATCATCATCATTTTCTTCTTCTTCTTCTTCCACATATCAACTACCTACACTTCATTCCTTTTTTCGATTTTGGCTCCTCTCTGATCGAACAGGTAACATTTGATTTATATATCTCATTTTTTACTTCATTTTGGCTTTTCAATCGCTGAATAGGTAAGATTTGCGTCACTCCAAAAAATTTATATACCGAGTACTACTCAAAACCACAAGTTACTAGCATTGAACGCACATAGTGCGTGGATGCCCAATTTTCCCCACCGGAGATCCTGTGGTTGGTCACTTGGAAGAACCCCCACTTTTCCGACGCCTCCCCTGCCGCCTCCACTGCCCGCCTCCAGGTCGATGGTCGGAATAATAAGTATGTCTTCTTCTTCGGCGGCGGCGGAGGCGGCGGCGACGGGAAGAGAGGTTTGTTGTTGTTGTTGTGGGGGAGCAATGAAATGGAGGGGAGTTTGGTTATGCCGGCGTCCACCTTCAACCAAATTGTACCCCCAAATTGCAGTAGTGCGGTACACATTTCTTACCAATTGGATCTAAATTCTTACCAATTTCCGTCCGGATTGCTACCCTTTATCGATTTTCCTTGCGGCCGCATGCGGGAAGGCACCAGAGGAGTGGAGGAGTGTGGCTGGCTTGCGGCGGCTCGCGGAGGGAGGCACTGGCTATTTTTTAATGGAGAGTTTATTTTTTAAAAAATAAAAAAGCTTTATGTCTTCTTATATTTCACCCTGATTTATGATTGCACTGTGCAAACTGCTAAGCCACTAATGAGTCCCAATTTTTATTTGAAAAAACTTTTCATATTGATTTTGCACCTCTATAATTTTTTTCCTTTTTTGTAATATTTTCAATGGAACATAGAAATATGATATTGTAATGTTTGTTTTTGTTATGTAGTATGACTTCGGAGTATGATTTAATATTAATTACATTTAGTCTTTGTTTATTTTTTATTTTTTAAAATTTTTGTGAACCCACTATACCTATTTCCTGGGTTTCCGTGTAGACTTCTTTTGCTGCAGGGATGCATGAACGGACCCCGTCCATGCTTATGGCTATGTTTCTAGCCGAAATGAAGCGGGGTAGACGGCGTAATCGGACGTTGCTAGCTCTCGATGTAGGCACGAAATGGATCGGGTTCAGCTTGTTGCAGCTCCCGTCTTACAGCTCTAAGGAGATGCTTCCAGTCTTGAAGCCTTTACCGTAAGTTTTCTGTCTATTCATTTTACAACAAAAACAACAATAATAATATAGTTATATCTTTACCATTCCCTTTATTAGATTAGATATGTGTAATTTGATTTTTTTTCAAACATATAGTCTCATTTGATCTTATTAGATCTGGTTTGGTCTCTGATTTGATATAATCTGATTACATTTATATTTAAAAGTGTTTTTGATATAGTCTGATCTAATCCGAGTATATCTGATCTCATTGCACGGTGAGATTATGACTCCCATATGTTTTAACCAACAGATTTTAAATTTGCAGGGCAGGGCGGCGCGAAGACTACATCAAGCTCCGTAAGATTGTATGTTTGATTTTTTTACTTCAAACAATGCATTCAAGTAATCATTTTCTATTTTTTTCATTATTTCAATATTTTAAAAATATAAAGAGATTTTGTTATATTTCAAAATATAAATTGGGTACAAATCTATTCATCTCGAATTTTGTACCGAAATTGATACTGAACCATTCCGAACTGATATTTCGGAATCAAGATCGGTACATCGTCAGATTTCATGCAAAACTGAGATATTTGGTAATGGTACGGGTTTAGACCCGGGCTAAATGGCGTAACATGTTCGGCCCTAACACTTTTAATCATTTTTAACTATTACTTACGGAGTATTTATTTATTTCCTTCACGCAGGTTAAAAAGGAAAAATGCATGGGATTCTTAATTGGCTTTCCCGAAAAATATGCAGAGACCACAGTAAAGAGACTTAAATAGACTACAAGCTATTTCCTCTTCCTCCTCTTTCATATATAGAATTTACTGTAGATAGTGTATACACCTATTTGCTTGGCTGGACGGACGAAAAACTCTAGAACACTCATCTCTGTGTTGCTCCTCTGCTGCTTTTATTGTATGCACTTCTCTGGTTCTTCTTGATTGGAAGAAGAACTAGGCAAGAAGTATGTCTCTTTCTGGTCGCTCCCCTCTATAGGCATGAACTCTGCAGCAACAATGTTTTTTATTTGGCATCCCTTCAAATTAAAGAAATTAAAGCTTATGAGATTCATCTATGACTCTCCTATTCTGAGTTGGGTACCTCTTGATGGATTGATTCATTGGTGTTTCTAGATTTTCGGTGATGCACAGAACATGTTTGATGAAATGTTCAACTCAAAAAAATATGAAGATATATTTGAAAGCTAAAACACTGTTTACAAGCTATTTGGGTTTATAGCTTACAATTTTATCTCCTGCTGGTTGGAGTTGCTCTTAAATTTTGTTNTTGTATGCACTTCTCTGGTTCTTCTTGATTGGAAGAAGAACTAGGCAAGAAGTATGTCTCTTTCTGGTCGCTCCCCTCTATAGGCATGAACTCTGCAGCAACAATGTTTTTTATTTGGCATCCCTTCAAATTAAAGAAATTAAAGCTTATGAGATTCATCTATGACTCTCCTATTCTGAGTTGGGTACCTCTTGATGGATTGATTCATTGGTGTTTCTAGATTTTCGGTGATGCACAGAACATGTTTGATGAAATGTTCAACTCAAAAAAATATGAAGATATATTTGAAAGCTAAAACACTGTTTACAAGCTATTTGGGTTTATAGCTTACAATTTTATCTCCTGCTGGTTGGAGTTGCTCTTAAATTTTGTTTAGTTAAATGTATATTCCCAATATATGTTATTTCATTTGGCAGGGACATTCAATCCATGCATTCGTTGACACACTAAAGAAAATGGAGGGATTCAGGCATTTACGTTATGCTTTTCGTGAAGAAGAGAATACAACATCTGCCGCCTGGTCCAAGTACAGAAAAGATGGTCCTGTACTTGACCGGAAGGGGAAGCCGACGGGGCCGAAAGCTTCTATCGACTCCTTTTCTGCGTATTTTCTCACCAAGGTTAGCCTCTTTTAGCTTTGTTGCCATCTAATTTTTTGTATTAATACTTATTTCTTTTGTGCAGTGGGAGCTCACGATCGCAATCAAGAAGTGGTATCACCGTAGAGATTGTAAGAATTTTGGGGGAGATTCTTACAATCCATCTCCACCATCCACCATCCATTTGCAGGTTCCCCCATCTCTTTAACTATCTGTAGTTTGTGACTTTCTGTTGGTTCATGGTGTTGATTAGATTTCTCTTTGTTGTTTTTAAATCTTCGATGGTATGAGGGAACTGACAGGCATTGTAAACACAATTTTATGGGCCCAAGGGCTCAGATTGCCGACGCTGACACATTTGTATAACCAGCATTATGTACTGCATAATGTAACAGTCAGACAAATGCACCCTCAGGACCACTTTTATTATTACTCCTTAAAATCTGCCGGAAAGACATGTGCAGAAAAGATTGTAGCTACCTAACTTGCGACATTGTTTCGGCCTTTACTTTGGGTGTTGATGTGCATTATATGCATGCCTCATCCCAAAAAAGTCCATTTTGGTCGAGCTACTACTATTAGAATTTAACAGTGTATCTCTAGCCATATTCACTCAATTTCAACCTATTTTGGCAAGTTATTAATTACATTTGCACGAAATATTAGCTGCGTGTGATATGATTCTTTTTTAGGATGGGAAGTCTTTTGAAACTAGATTGTTTTGGGATGGTGGTAGTAGTATAGGAGAAGACCCCCTCCCCTATATACTCACTCACAGTGTCATGCTTCTTCTATATATATGATATCCGTACCTTCTCAATGTGCATGGTGTGGACTGAAGAGTACCTCAAAGTGTATTTTACATTTTCAATGTGCATTGAGAAGGTACGGATATCATATATATAGAAGAAGCATGACACTGTGAGTGAGTATATAGGGGAGGGGGTCTTGTTCTATACTACTACCACCATCCCAAAACAATCTAGTTTCAAAAGACTTCCCATCCTAAAAAAGAATCATATCACACGCAGCTAATATTTCGTGCAAATGTAATTAATAACTTGCCAAAATAGGTTGAAATTGAGTGAATATGGCTGGCTACAGATACACTGTTAAATTCCAATAGTAGTAGCTCGACCAAACTGGACTTTTTTGGGATGAGGCATGCATATGATGCACATCAACACCCAAAGTAAAGGCCGAAACAATGTCGCAAGTTAGGTAGCTACAATCTTTTCTGCACATGTCTTTCTGGCAGATTTTAAGGAGTAATAATAAAAGTGGTCCTGAGGGTGCATTTGTCTGACTGTTACATTATGCAGTACATAATGCTGGTTATACAAATGTGTCAGCGTCGGCAATCTGAGCCCTTGGGCCCATAAAATTTTGTTTACAATGCCTGTCAGTTCCCTCATACCATCGAAGATTTAAAAACAACAAAGAGAAATCTAATCAACACCATGAACCAACAGAAAGTCACAAACTACAGATAGTTAAAGAGATGGGGGAACCTGCAAATGGATGGTGGATGGTGGAGATGGATTGTAAGAATCTCCCCCAAGATTCTTACAATCTCTACGGTGATACCACTTCTTGATTGCGATCGTGAGCTCCCACTGCACAAAAGAAATAAGTATTAATACAAAAAAAATAAATGGCAACAAAGCTAAAAGAGGCTAACCTTGGTGAGAAAATACGCAGAAAAGGAGTCGATAGAAGCTTTCGGCCCCGTCGGCTTCCCCTTCCGGTCAAGTACAGGTACTTGGACCAGGCGGCAGATGTTGTATTCTCTTCTTCACGGAAAGCATAACGTAAATGCCTGAATCCCTCCATTTTCTTTAGTGTATCAACGAATGCATGGATTGAATGTCCCTGCCAAATGAAATAACATATATTGGGAATATACATTTAATTAAACAAAATTTAAGAGCAACTCCAACCAGCAGGAGATAAAATTGTAAGCTATAAACCCAAATAGCTTGTAAACAGTGTTTTAGCTTTCAAATATATCTTCATATTTTTTTGAGTTGAACATTTCATCAAACATGTTCTGTGCATCACCGAAAATCTAGAAACACCAATGAATCAATCCATCAAGAGGTACCCAACTCAGAATAGGAGAGTCATAGATGAATCTCATAAGCTTTAATTTCTTTAATTTGAAGGGATGCCAAATAAAAAACATTGTTGCTGCAGAGTTCTTGCCTATAGAGGGGAGCGACCAGAAAGAGANCAAATAGCTTGTAAACAGTGTTTTAGCTTTCAAATATATCTTCATATTTTTTTGAGTTGAACATTTCATCAAACATGTTCTGTGCATCACCGAAAATCTAGAAACACCAATGAATCAATCCATCAAGAGGTACCCAACTCAGAATAGGAGAGTCATAGATGAATCTCATAAGCTTTAATTTCTTTAATTTGAAGGGATGCCAAATAAAAAACATTGTTGCTGCAGAGTTCTTGCCTATAGAGGGGAGCGACCAGAAAGAGACATACTTCTTGCCTAGTTCTTCTTCCGATCAAGAAGAACCAGAGAAGTGCATACAATAAAAGCAGCAGAGGAGCAACACAGAGATGAGTGTTCTAGAGTTTTTCGTCCGTCCAGCCAAGCAAATAGGTGTATACACTATCTACAGTAAATTCTACTCCGTATATATGAAAGAGGAGGAAGAGGAAATAGCTTGTAGTCTATTTAAGTCTCTTTACTGTGGTCTCTGCATATTTTTCGGGAAAGCCAATTAAGAATCCCATGCATTTTTCCTTTTTAACCTGTGTGAAGGAAATAAATAAATACTCCGTAAGTAATAGTTAAAAATGATTAAAAGTGTTAGGGCCGAACATGTTACGCCATTTAGCCCGGGTCTAAACCCGTACCATTACCAAATATCTCAGTTTTGCATGAAATCTGACGATGTACCGATCTTGATTCCGAAATATCAGTTCGGAATGGTTCAATATCAATTTCGGTACAAAATTCGAGATGAATAGATTTGTACCCAATTTATATTTTGAAATATAACAAAATCTCTTTATATTTTTTAAAATATTGAAATAATGAAAAAAATAGAAAATGATTACTTGAATGCATTGTTTGAAGTAAAAAAATCAAACATACAATCTTACGGAGCTTGATGTAGTCTTCGCGCCGCCCTGCCCTGCAAATTTAAAATCTGTTGGTTAAAACATATGGGAGTCATAATCTCACCGTGCAATGAGATCAGATATACTCGGATTAGATCAGACTATATCAAAAACACTTTTAAATATAAATGTAATCAGATTATATCAAATCAGAGACCAAACCAGATCTAATCAGATCAAATGAGACTATATGTTTGAAAAAAAATCAAATTACACATATCTAATCTAATAAAGGGAATGGTAAAGATATAACTATATTATTATTGTTGTTTTTGTTGTAAAATGAATAGACAGAAAACTTATGGTAAAGGCTTCAAGACTGGAAGCATCTCCTTAGAGCTGTAAGACGGGAGCTGCAACAAGCTGAACCCGATCCATTTCGTGCCTACATCGAGAGCTAGCAACGTCCGATTACGCCGTCTACCCCGCTTCATTTCGGCTAGAAACATAGCCATAAGCATGGACGGGGTCCGTTCATGCATCCCTGCAGCAAAAGAAGTCTACACGGAAACCCAAGAAATAGGTATAGTGGGTTCACAAAAATTTTAAAAAATAAAGAATAAACAAAGACTAAATGTAATTAATATTAAATCATACTCCGAAGTCATACTACATAACAAAAACAAACATTACAATATCATATTTCTATGTTCCGTTGAAAATATTACAAAAAAGGAAAAAAATTATAGAGGTGCAAAATCAATATGAAAAGTTTTTTCAAATAAAAATTGGGACTCATTAGTGGCTTAGCAGTTTGCATAGTGCAATCATAAATCAGGGTGAAATATAAGAAGACATAAAGCTTTTTTATTTTTTAAAAAATAAACTCTCCATTAAAAAGTAGCCAGTGCCTCCCTCCGCGAGCCAGCCACACTCCTCCACTCCTCCGGTGCCTTCCCGCATGCGGCCGCAAGGAAAATCGATAAAGGGCAGCAATCCGGACGGAAATTGGTAAGAATTTAGATCCAATTGGTAAGAAATGTGTACCGCACTACTGCAATTTGGGGGTATAATTTGGTTGAAGGTGGACGCCGGCATAACCAAACTCCCCTCCATTTCATTGCTCCCCCACAGCAACAACAACAAACCTCTCTTCCCGTCGCCGCCGCCTCCGCCGCCGCCGAAGAAGAAGACATACTTATTATTCCGACCATCGACCTGGAGGCGGGCGGTGGAGGCGGCAGGGGAGGCGTCGGAAAAGTGGGGGTTCTTCCAAGTGACCAACCACGGGATCTCCGGTGGGGAAAATTGGGCATCCACGCACATAGTGCGTTCAATGCTAGTAACTTGTGGTTTTGAGCAGTACTCGGTATAAAATTTTTTTGGAGTGACGCAAATCTTACCTATTCAGCGATTGAAAAGCCAAAATGAAGTAAAAAATGAGATATATAAATCAAATGTTACCTGTTCGATCAGAGAGGAGAAGAAGAAGATGATGATGATGATGATGAAGATGGATGCCTGCTGATATGTAGAAGAAGATGATGATGAAGATGGGTGCCGCAAATCTTACCTATTCAGCGATTGAAAAGCCAAAATGAAGTAAAAAATGAGATATATAAATCAAATGTTACCTGTTCGATCAGAGAGGAGAAGAAGAAGAAGATGATGATGATGATGGATGCCTGCTGATATGTAGAAGAAGAAGATGAAGATGGTGCCTGCTGCCTGACCGGCTGATTTTATGCATACTGGCGCAGAGTGCCTGCAGAACAAAAAGTGCTTATGCCGGGAAAGTTTTTGGCCTGCATGCGGGTACACCAAATGCAATGGTGTACCCCAATTTTTGCTTCCGTATTGGTGCTCCTCTTTTCTACTCCCTCTCTCTCCAACAAAATATTATTCATTTTGATGTATTTTTTATTAGATAGTTACTCCCTTCGATCATAAATCAAATACAATATAAATAAACAAATTTTATAAAAAAATTAATTTATCAAAACTAGATCCTAAGATGAATCCAATTATATTAAATTCATATTATAATTCAATATACTTTTCTCACCATTTATAGTCAAAGTGTGTAATTTTTTGACCAAATACTATTCAAAATGGGTAATGTTTTATGGGACAGAGGAAGTAGTATTTTATTTATAGGGAGAAAGACCAAAATAGGACTAAAATATTGAAAATATACCAAAATAAGACTTTCATGCTTTTATTCCCGAAATAGGACTTAAAACGCATTTACATTACCAAACATGGTCTGATGGTTATGTACAGTACCAACAAGTATAGTAATGTGCACATGTACAGTGTCACATTAGCACAGTGCAAAGTTCTATAGGGAAAAAACATGAAAGTCATATTTTAGTACTTTTCTCTATGTTTTAGTCTTATTTATGGTGATTCTTATTATTTTTAAATCAAATCAATTAAGTACACATTACATTTTAATTTTTTTTATAATCTGGTCAAAAGTTATACAAGTATAAAATAAGGTTAAACAAAAATATTTTATTTTTATTAAACAATCAATAAAATTCATAAATAATAAAAAATATATATCGAGATATCAAAATAGTCACTACTACCATTGTTTTGAGATGAATGGAGTAATTAATTAACAGACATGACACTACACCCCAATATAACAAATCTCGAACAAACGATACTCCGCATGTGTTTGTTCTGGAATATAAAACTAATGGATTTGATAAACCCCTTCCCATGACATTGGGAATCAATGTCATGAGATGACCCGGGGTGCTTCAGTGTATCGTTTGTAAAATTGACGGTTTCTACCCTTCCTAACCCCCGGTAAAACCCCCACCCCGCCTCGACCCGGATGCACCCCCACCCCTTCAATTGCATCCCCCAAGTTAATTTTGACTTTGGGGTCAAAATTTGACTCCAATGTCAAAATTAACTTGGGGGTGCAATTGAAGGGGGTAGAGGTGTGTGTTCGGGTCGGAGCGAGGTGGGAGTTTACCTGGGGGGTTAGGTGGGGGTAGAATCGTCAATTTTAGAAACGAGACATCGGAGCACCTCCGGGTCATCCAATGATATTGAGAATCAATTTCATGGGAACCTATCTCATGAACCACTTGGTGCCCATGACATTGGGAATCAATGTCATGGGATGACCCGAGGGTGCTCCAGTGTCCCGTTTGTAAAATTGACGGTTTCTACCCTCCCTAACCCCCGGTAAACCCCCCTACCCCCGCCCCGACCCCCTTCAATTGCATCCCCCAAGTTAATTTTGACTTTGGGGTCAAATTTGACTCCAAAGTCAAAATTAACTTGGGGGTGCAATTGAAGGGGGTGGGGGGTGTGTGTTTGGGTCAAAGCGAGGTGGGGGTTTACCCGGGGGGCTAGGTCGGGGTAGGAACTGTCAATTTTAAGAACGGGACACCGGAGTACCCCCGGGTCATCCAGTGACATTGAGAATCAATGTCATGGGAACCGCCTCGTAAACCCCTTGGTTCCCATGACATTGGGAATCAATGTCATGGGATGACCCGGGGTGCTCCGGTGTTCCGTTTATAAAATTGGCTGTTTCTACCCCCTAACCCCCCGGTAAACCCCCCTGCCATGCCCCGACCCGAACACCCCACCCCCACCCCCACCCCCTTCAAATGCACCTCCAAGTTAATTTTGACTTTGGAGTCAAATTTGACCCCAAAGTCAAAATTAACTTGGGGTGCAATTGAAGGGGGGTGGCGGAGTTTGTGTTCGGGTCGAAGCGAGGTAGGGGGTTTACCCGGGGGGTTAGGTGGGGCTAGGAACCGTTAATTTTTAGAATGCAACACCGGAACACCCCCTGGTCATCCAATGACATTGAGAATCAACGTCATGGAAACCGGTTTTTTTGGTAAAATAAAAATGAAATGAAATTAGTGTCTTAACTATTTTGCATTGAGAGAAGTTAAAAGATCCAATACAAATGCCCGGTAATGGTTTTATAGAGACATATTACGCCCCTAATATGTTCACTAAAGTTATATATATACTTCCTCCGTTCTCAAAAACATTTTTCTCTTTTATTCTTTTTACTTTCAACAATACATTTTCGCTTTCTATTTAAAAAACCCTTTTTACTCCTACTTTTTCTTACCCTACCTATCACATCATGTTTTTCATCTAATAATCTATTTTTCACATCTTACTAAGGACAGAATTGAAAATCAACTACAATTTAACACTTTCTTATTTTACCACTTGATCAAAAATGAAACTCTTTTAAAGAATGGAGGGAATACCTTATAATGAATTTTAATTTTTTTAATTCAAACAAGATCATCAAGATTTAACCATTTAGGGCCTGTTCTTTAGGACTGGAAAAAAAGAACTGGAAACTGGAAGAAACTGGAAGAAACTGGAAGGAACTGGATGAAACTGGAAGAAACTGGAAAAAACTGGAAGGAACTGGAAGAACTGGAAGAAACTGGAAGGAACTGGAAGAAACTGGAAGGAACCGGAAGGAACTGGAAGGAACTGGAAGAAACTGGAATAAAATGGAAAAACTGAAAAAAATTAAAAAAACTGGAAGGAACTGGAAGAAACTAGAAAGAACTGGAAGGAACTGGAAAGAACTGGAAGTTAAGAGTTCAAGTCCTAAAGAACAGGCCCTTAGTCTAATTAAGTATCCGGAGCCGATATCCGTCTCTTTTTTAGCATAGTATAATTGGATAACAATGCAATTTGATACAGAGTAATAACTATATACTCCCCTTTCCAAAAACTACTCCCCGTTTCTTGTTTCTTTTTTTTTGTCCCAATTTTTTTCATTTCTATTAAAAAATCACTCTTACCCTAATAAATTTTAACACACCTATCACATCATACCTATTTTTAATAATCTAACTATTGCATCTCACTTTTATCCATCACATCAAAAGTATTTTTGGAGACTCAACACAAATTTATCCTTTCTTAAATTTTCTAAAAATCAAAACAGGAACATCTGTATGGGAGAGATGGGACAAAGTAATAATTTGGTTAAAAACAATTACGAAAGATAATAAGGGCATATCCATAATCCATTCGTGCCTGCAAATTTTAATATTTGGAGGTATCACTCACCACTACTCTTTATTGGAATTTGGAACCCTTTTTGCATTTTGCCCTCTCCTCCCCTATACAGTGTTTTGATGCCCGGAACGGACCGGCTGGTACAACCGGTCAACCGGCAGCATATTCGGTCCAATTCGCTGAAGAAATCCACCTCTCATTTTAAAATAGTTTTAAAAAATTCTCAAAAAATTCTCAAAAAATTGAGAATTAATTTTTTTGAATTAATTCTCAAAAAATTGAGAATTATTTAATTTTAATTTTAAAATAAATACACTCTGTATATTTCATATATAAAAAATTGTTGTCTTTAAAAATAAAGTAATATTTATTAATTATAATTTAATATGCTATATTTTTTATTTTTCAATCATTTTAATCAACTAAATATAAACTTTAAAATGTCATATGTATATAAGAATAAAATATCTAATCTTTAATTTTTGAAAATATGAGTATCGCCTTATTATTTTTAAGTATTTGTTAGAGATTCAATATTAACTTTTAATAATAATAAAAAT